CTTCATCTGCAAAATATCCATCAATTGTCTCAGAATAAGAAAAAGAGAATTCAGTGAAGGAAATTTTCTTTTCGACGATATCATTTACTTAAGCTGTACATTCGTATATGTAGTTATGTAGAAAATGTATGTCTATAGGAGGATAGAAAAAATCGCATCACCAAAATGGATTCGAGGATAAATAACAAATGAGGTTACGTACTAATCAAGGGGTAAGGAAGAAAATCGTTTATGAGTCAGATAACAGTCCAATTGACAAATATGAAGAAAAGCGACAAACACAAAGGTCATAATAATAGACTGAATCATAATCAAGAAAACTTGTATAAGGTAATAATAATATTTTTTCCAAGTATTGTGACAATTGGTAGCATTGCCGCAGTCAAACCTGTCACTTTAAATGAAAGGAACTACTGGATTTCGGCAACCAGTTATTATTAATAACGCAGTATAAATCAACTATACGTGCTCATGTGGGGCTTGTTATGTAGGCCGAACAAAGCGATCACTTTCCAAACGCATCTCAGAACACTATCCGGCTTGGCTTGCAAAAGGAGAATGTAAGACAATCACTAGTTCTATACAGGAGCATTTATTTAATTATGGACACACTGCTCCCAAGTATTCTTCGTTAAAAGTGATCCACACAGTTAAAGGAATTTGATCGAAGGGGTGTCGAATCAATATTTTATGCACTTATGAGGCACTGGCAATTCACGAACTCAAGCCCGAACATTGCGTGCAGAAACGATTTGTCCGGCCTCCCACCCTTCATTGGCCCTAATTCTCTTAATGGGTATGTTTCTGTTTTTTTCTGCACTTATTTGATTATTATCGAATTTCTGAAACTACTAGTTTGCATTTTAAACTTGAAACAATTATTATTATTATTACCTTATACAAGTTTTCTTGATTATGATTCAGTCTATTATTATGACCTTTGTGTTTGTCGCTTTTCTTCATATTTGTCAATTGGACTGTTATCTGACTCATAAACGATTTTCTTCCTTACCCCTTGATTAGTACGTAACCTCATTTGTTATTTATCCTCGAATCCATTTTGGTGATGCGATTTTTTCTATCCTCCTATAGACATACATTTTCTACTTAACTACGTATACGAATGTACAGCTTAAGTAAATGATATCGTCGAAAAGAAAATTTCCTTCACTGAATTCTCTTTTTCTTATTCAATTACACTATGGGTTATTTTAATTGTCTCAGACTTTGTCGTTCCTTCGTTCCCATACCAATCACTCTCTGTTTTCGGTATCTTCTCTTCGATCTTGTTAACTTTCTGCAGCCAGGCATTCCACTTTCGATTAGTGATACATACAACTTATATCAGTCGACATCAGTAGCACACCACAACAGGCGCATACTAACGAGGAGCTGCAAGCGCAGGCAAAACATTCATCCAATTCGAGTTCCCAAAGGTTCTCCAGTCAATATCAGTCCACATCAACAACCAGTCTTAGATGTGAATAAGTGAGTGATTTTCCCCAAAACAGTGATCACAATTAGTGTTTTGTATTGACGGAATTTATAGATATTAAAAAATGTTACTAATTTTCAGTCTACTCTAGTCTCCAATGAAAATGAATCATATTACAAACTTGTATAGGGTTATTAGTGTATTTCTGTCATAAATAAACATGAATTGTCAGTTTTAGTTTGGAAAGAACAGAAGATTGGAAGGTTAGTCCCGAAAATAGGGACGTTTGATTTATCTAACCTGCTATGAACACATTTCCTTAAGATGTTTTCACAACATATTGAGCTGAAGAGTTTAACTGGTTAACGATTTGATGAGAAAGTCCATTCCCGGCCGACGAGTAACTGTTCATAGGCTTGTTGACCTTTAAGTATATACTCATATTCTTGCTACTATATAAGGTACAAGTAATGAGGACATATAGGAGTAGAATTGATCAGAAAGTAGCTTGAAGATTGTGATCGGATTATATCAAGTCTTTCTGCATGATAAGAGAATATTTGATTAAACCAACATGTTCTCATACAGAAGCTCAACGACACGATAGATTAACTTAGTTGATGTCCACTGAACCTTTTCTAAGAGCTCAATATCGTTCTCAAGCCAAGAGCTAATTGCTTCCGTACAGCGCTCTAGTTTATGACTAACCCTATATTATTCCACATGTATTTATTCGCGATTTCACAATCGATTTACATTATTATTCACTTGGAGATATTAACTGGGAACTACTAAGTTTTTCTAGAACTCTGCGATATCGCCTTTTTTGTATTGTCCTACGTTTATTTTGGCAAGGTTGATGTACAACGAAACTAACAACAACAAGTGACTAGGATGGTCGTTTAAACTTTAGAAGATATAATACTGGTGTCAAAACTGTAACCTAGAAAGCTTTGTTAAGCGTTATTTTGCAAATAGACAACTCGGAGTTAGCATATACTCACTTGCTGTGTACAAATGGAAAGTTGTGTTAGACTGAAGTATAGGTTATGTTGATTAATCTCAATATGTACTTGTTACTTTTAAGAATTATTGTACATACCAAAATGATAAACCCATTCAAACATAAAATACGTTATTACTGTATTAGAGAAATTACAAACTAGAAAGAAATTATCATTACTCATTTCCTGCATGAGTTAATCATTGTACAAATTTATAAATGAGGTGAGTGAAAAATTCACATCATCCTTTTCTGATCATACTAGAAATAGGATATGCTCGTCTTAGTGAAAAAAAAACGACTGCAAAAGTCACACCAAACATTCAGACCAGTTAGATGATAATTAGCAGATAAATTGGCTGATAAAATTTTCATTCTAGTTTATACAAAGTTTAGTAATTTGTTCTTTGTTATTATATACTTTTTTCTAGAAAATGAGATATTATTATCCAATAAACATGTGGATAAAGGCTTTATTTTATAAAATATCAATTATTTTATCTTTTTTCGAACTACTCCCCATTTGTGCTAATGCATCTGTCCCATTTTCGCTACTACTGTTTCAAAACTTCATGAAAGTTTACAGAAGTTGGGCTCCTTAGCTAGTTTATCGTCCAACAATTTTCTCAACCAGAAATGTTCTGCTAGAATGTCGTATGCAAACAATTTCCCACAGCTTGATTCATTAGGAATAATTGAGACAGAAAAACCGGTTGGGAATCAGAATAAACTGAATAAGTTGGATGCACTTATTGAAACAAAGTCCCATTACTCTCGTAATATCCAGTTCTCGCTGAACAGCTTAAATCAAATGGAAATGGCTGTTTTCTTCTACGGGTAATCCACATAAACAGCACTGGACATAATTTTCCGTATAAGTGATGAATTTTCTCATTATTGTTAAGAATTGGTCAGTAGCTTTTGGCATATGTACATCCTGAATAGAATGCCTTAGTATTGCCATTTAGTCACAAGAACCTTAATAAAGTTATATAAAAGACGGAATGGGAATCCACAACGCACGTTTTGTCCTACGTTGGACGCCGTGGTGTGAACACAGGGATTCAGGTACAAACCGTCGTTCCTCTTATATGGCTGTAATAATTAAGTGAAAAAGAGGAGAAACCAAAGGAGAACAGAAAGAGCGTCATTTGCCATCAATTTAAAACTCTGAATTTTTTCAATTGGTAAAAGCTTCAGACTAAAAATACATGGTTGACAGGACTATCAATTATGAAAACACTTCTAAACGGAGGACCCGTTTATGATGGAAGGATCAAGGCAAAAGGGTGCACACCAACATAGTGACTATCAAAATAGGCACAGATAAAAAAACAGTCGCGCATAAAGTAGTTTAATAATGTAATAGAGATATGAATATTATTTGCACTTGTGAATTTTGACAGCACGGTTTAATGTCTAAAGTTGTAAGTCGAAATTGAGTGCTATACCAAGCAAATAGTTTCGTATCTATCTGTTCCTATAATCTTGTAAAACCATTTTAATCCATGTTGATATCTCCGTGTGCTTTTTTCACGTCATTGCTAGATCCCTGCCAGGCTGTTTGATTTTCAATCCATTTAGACATTTGCTTTTTTGAGCATCAATAAATTTTTGTGTTCGGACGAGCTGTTTCAAGCCTTCATCCCACCGCTCTACAGTAATGTTTGTTGAAGATCGTCCAAAACGAAACTGTAGGTGCTTCATAGTATGATTCGGGAATCGGAGCCTTAGATGCATAGAAGTTAATCACTCCAGATGTTTTTAAAATAACTCACGAATACTTTGATTTCTTTATTCTCTACGCAGAATGGTGACTCCACTAAGATGTCAAATGCAGTTATAACACTCAAGACCGGCACAAGTTGTCGTCGACTGATGGATGTGCAGAGAAGTTTTTATCCATCATATAGAGATGTTGACGGTTTGGTGATCACTGTAACCTCTCCCATATGGATACTGATAAGGTTGAATGTTGGTTATCAGTCATGGTAGTTGATGGTTCTAAGTCGGACATTGTTTATTCAGTTCTTTGTAGATGCCCACGAACGAATTTCTATTTACATTCAGTAAGAATGTAAACGAGTGGATTGGATTTCATAGTTTAAATGATGTAGATGAACAAAGTGGTCGAGGTCTTTAACGTTCTATCGACATGCTAATGAGGATGTCATCTTAACAATTCCAGATTCCGAGTTGTGGAAAATGTCAAAATGTGCTCTTCACCCAGTTCACTGCCATGCAGAAAATTATCGCTGCTCAAAACTTGAGACTGGCGAAAATAACGTAGGTGTTGACATACTAGTCTATTTGCCCGTTAGCTAATTCGCGTATATGATGGAAGGGACGGCTCCTAGTATTTACTGATCAAAAACTACTAGCCAAGGCACTACTACCCAATGATAAGAAAAGCTTTCTCATTCAGATCAATTACCTCTTACCATTCTGCATCTGTCCGTGTATTATTGAAGCCCTTGTGCTTAATAATTTCATTAGACCTAAGTCCGTATTAGCATTTGAATTCTACCGTACCATTGTTAAGATAATATAAAAACTCGGTAGTGACTGGAAGCAAAAGAACAGTTTTGATCGCAATGATGTACATTGAAAAGTAAGTCACAAAGTGCAAACTAGCTTACTATTGTTTGGAATGCTAACATATTAGAAAGATGTTTTGGAAGAAGTAGGTAAAAAGAACTAAAACATATTTCGTGTTAACTGAAAGGAAACGTTGTAGTCAATAAAATGAAATGGTTATGATAATAAGCTAAACACCAGAGAATTTTTTGAAAAACTCGCTTTCACTTAAAACAGTTCCATAAACACTGCCCGTCAGTGATAAGTTCTCAACTATATTAGATGTCATATCCCAGTAGAAGGGTAAAGTATGTAACGAACTTGAACTCTGTCCACGTATACATCCATAAGTTGGTGGTGGTGCTATCCAGCTGCCATCCTCACGCTGCATATGACTACGATCTGATGAAAAGTGATTTAGGTAGTCGACGCCATGGATAACGCGATAGGACCTGTGACAACAAAGAGGAATGACATGGCATTGCAAACAAATATAATCCATGCAATACAACTGAAGAGCAACCTTTAAACAAATTTCCTGAGTAAAAGTTCATTACAGACGCTAACAAGCTGTTTAGTCGACAGAAGAAGCAAAAGTCTGCAATTTTACTAGTATATAAAACTCTATATATAAATGCATGCCAATAATAACTATGTTCATAAGTGACAATATAAGTGATACGTACTGAATAATAAAATATATGAATGGAGTAAACATCATGGTATTTGGAGTCTGTCACAACTGTTTCAAAAACTCGCTTCCTTAAGTGTGTTATTATTCTTAAGGTGGGCAGAATAAATAGCTGACTGCACTATTTTAGATTGGTTTCTATGGCTGTTTACTCTCGCGTTTCGGTGCATCGACTGTTTTAATAAAAACATATATTAAACATTCACAAACCTATCCAATGTGAACCAGAATGAATTAAAAACTGAAATAAAACAGCAATCAATGTATGATTATCAAGATCGTAACTTAATGGAGAAGTAGTGACTAACAAAATTTTTTTCATCTAACAGCTTATAACATTTAATCATGTTTACTTTCTTGCTAATATTTGTATGTTATCTTATTATATAAAAAGCCTATCCTAATAAATAGCTGTCTTGTCTTCAGATATCTGTTCATAAGGGATTACAGCTAGTGAATAGCCACCACTCAGTCAATTCATAACACTGGATATTACCCATCAAGAAATTTCATTCATTTCTCAACCCTCTTTCATAAAAATATATAAAATCACGAAAAAATTAGCAGTACGTACAAAAAACATAATAGTGACTTATTAGAGGTAGTACCAAGTATCGTTTGAATTTCAGTAGTCGTTTGTTAATTATCTATTTGACAGTAGAACTGGGCTGATTAATAGAGGAATAAAAGTTCCATGTACCAACACGCAAACACTAACAAACAAGATACTGTTACAAATCAAGAGACAAATTTACACAAGTGTGGCTATAGATACACATAATGGTCACATCTAAAATCCAATCAGCCTTTAGCATATACTTTGCGTACTTTTAGCTATTTATTAAACTAATAAAACTCATGTTCGTTTATATCCGTGACTGTTAATTGTTTGACTGTTTGTTCCAGCTTGTGAATTTAATATCTGCAGCATAAAACAGTTTTTTATAAACTGTCACCTCACTTTCATTAATCAACATTGTATAACAAAAGATGGATCCTCACTGTAAGACAGCCCAAGTATTGAAATATTTTAGAACATGTTTAGTGTCAGATCAGTATTTAGAGCAGCAAACAAAGCAGATGTTCAACTGTCTAATAAACAACGTAACCTAGACTAAGGCTTATCCTTACCATGATGAGTGAGAGTAACCGGATCGACAGGTAATAGAGCCTATGTGATGATTTGGATTATTGGGTAGTGTTGGCCTCTAAATGTCAATCGTATGGCGCTGCAGTGGGAGCGCTTCTGTCCTGTATTTATGAAAGTCTCTAAGCAGAGGAAGTTCAACGAGTTTGTCTTTAATCATTTTTTCACTGAAGGATCGAATTTAGCTGTAACAATAAACAATGTTGGGTTTTAGCTGAGTGTTTAGGAGTAGTAGGAATCAGGGCCCAATTAGTGAGAGTTGCTTTAGTGTTCTAGACAAACTACGCATATCAACACAAAGGTTACTATACCAAGCACTGTTTGGTGCCACAGAAACTAACTGTAGAAATTAGGTGAATGATCAGTTTATAACTTAGATTGTTGAACGAAGAGTAGTATTTGTTTAAAATATGATTGTACTTCACGGTTTCGCGAAAAGGGTTTTAGAGACTGGACAAGCCAGTGGCACGTACGGTTACCAAGTATAGCTCCAAATTATAGCCGGTAGGAATCTAATGGTTTCCAATTGTCCTCTATAATGTATGTGGTGTACCTTTTAGATGAATGAGATCTGAAATGAGTGTTGTGTGAGCTATATTCTTTAATATCCATACTGTTACTAACAGATGAAATTCTCTCCTAATATTATCATGAACCATCGACCATTGAGATGACTTCATATTTCAGGATGAGGATTTCGTGGTTTGAGCTAGTATGGTTGTGAAGCCTTCATTGTTCTTCAGCAGCACGTACTTTTCTTTCCTCCAAGAATTATTTTGTTATAAATAATAAACACAATAGCTATTCAGCAATAGAGAAGAAACACCTCATGTAGTACGTTATTATAAGTTTTTAAACTCGCCATTGAAATTGTTAACCAAAGTTTCTCTGAAAAAGATGGCTTAAAACACTGTTGATACATTTCGAGTGACTCTTAGTCAATACCTAGTCACCCACTCATCAACTCCAAGTTAAATGAAGCTAACTGCCATCATCAAGACATTTGAATAAGAAATGGACAGATACGCCTAACTCTTGGTACTTTTGTTCAAGAGAGAACCTGCGTAACTTACTCAAATTATTCAAACCGGGTTAGGAGGATTCGATCAAAGTCATCGTTGAAGTACACCCCAGTAACGTTCTACAATAACACTAGTTATTGGTATATGGCTAGTAATAATAATAATAATAATAATAATAATAACACAAGAATTGAGACTACAATTTGCAGTTATGAGCAAAAGTGACGCATATTTACGACTGCAAAAATCTTACCTATGTAGTTCTTCTGGAAGAACGGTGTTCTGCCGGAGTCCGTGTGTTAGATACTGGACAAATGGGGTGGGAAACGGCAGTAGTGAGTCAAAGTCATAAACCCAGTAATTGGACATATCGTCGTATATGAGGAAAACGTGGTAATCCTTAAAAGAAAACAAAACAGTAAACTTGGAGCGTTAATTACCCATATGATGAAATGGTCCATTTGAGGATCTCCCTTTACTTGGGCGAACAAACCAATCTAGTATCTAATGTGATGGACTTTGATGACAACTTACGGATTTGTTGACATTGGACAAAAATACAACGTATCCACACTGTAAGTTACCGAACTCCCTCAGATATTCTAACAGCTTGTACACATTCTCTTCACTTAGCCAGTAGAAATGGTTATAATTGTGACAGACCAGTAGCTGGGAGTGTAGGTAAGTTGTTCTTTAGCAATTTTCATGACTGAAATCACAAAAAAAGATCTGCACTAATTTAGTATGGAAAACGGATTCATTTTCCGGGCGCACTTTCGGTACATTAGGTTAGACGCTACATAAAGTAAAGAGCAAACGAGGAACTAAAGACCACATTAGAACAGAGAAATCTGCTAAGCAGAAAGAACAAGGTAATGTAAATAATATTCATTTACCGTATATGCTGCAGTTGTATCAAAACAATTTATATCGATTGGGAGGTGGTCCCTTCAAATTTCCTCGGATTCTACAGGAAAATACGAATTCTCATAGTATTTAGGTCCCAAATTTAAGAAAACTCCCAAATCGGGAGACAAGGATCGTTCGAATGCTAACTGGATTCGAGACGCAGAGAAGGAAGACTGGATTTTCTTTGATAATTAACTAGATTTCTCCAAATAACAAAGGACAATACTGGAGAGTTGAATAATGGCCAATGTTTATTGTGCGCCACTGACCTTGAGGAGACCTACAGTTCACCGTGTACTAACAGGTTGAATAGTGCTTGTTTGACAAAAGTTATTGTCATTTAAACCATTGCTAAGTCTAACATCCCTTATAGTTTTCCGAGATTTAAAATAGGATTTCCTTTTCAAATCAAACACTTATTGTTTTTCAGTCGCAGTGTAGCGGACATAAAAACTCAACGTAATTGTGATGTAAATGAGTCCTTAAAATGGATAGTTCCACAAATCTTCGATATTGACGCTGACCTTATTAGTTTTAATTTAAGCACTCTAGTTGAATCCGCACCAGATCACCAGTGGGTACGCCGTGCTATGGAACCCTTAAAACTAATTGCCAGCTTAGACAAAACACTTCTCGACATAGACAGCTTTCCTTCACCTCTGACTTATGATCTGACTGTCTTGGAATCGTTCGACTGTAATGTTGTTACGAGTAAAGGCGTTGTCAAACTTAGAATACATGTGGCAACTTTTAAAGTTTTGCTTGGCAGTGTTAGAAAACTTTATTTATTGAGATCTATCTCTTGATAGTTGAACTGTGTTTTTGATAACGGTTAAAAGATATGACAAAAGAAGACTAATAATCTACCTGTATCTCAGTTGCTCATACATTCCCTCCAATATATAGGACTAGTGAAATGTAACTGAAAACTAGCCGAATCATCTGGCGTTTAGGTCACTGAACGTCGAACAGTTTGCCAATGGCCGTTGTAGCGGTAAATAAATCCCTAAAATAAATAGCTCTGTAAGTTTTCGACATTGGATGCTGACCATATGTTTTAGTGGACTCATCTAGCTGAAGGCGTTCGGTCAGGCATCCGCACCAGATCACGTGTGGTAACGCCGTGCTCAACATCAACCGCAATCGCTAGCCAGATTAGATCAGAGAATTCCTATATATTGGTCATCGCCAAATATACTCTTCCGATCTCCTCGACTCTGTCTTTTGATTTCTCTGGGTGGGAACGAAATATATTAGAAGGTGTTACTGGTAGAAGCGTTGTCAAACACTGAATACCTGTGACATCATCATTGGTGAAACCGACGTGATCTGGTACACCTTATTGCAACTGTGAGTCTGTTCCTTTTTGGAATTTTTATATATCATTGCTTTATTTTTTATTTTTTTTAAACATTGTGATTTTTTTCGTGCTTTTTCTTGGATATATATTTTTTCCCCTCGTTCATTATCATACTTAATATTTCATCATGACTGAACAGACACCTAAAGTACTCAAGCTTAAGACTTTGTCCCCACCTTCGTTTCAACTGATGCCTTTCTGGCCCGACAACATCGAAGCCTGGTTTTGCTACGCAGAAGCCGACTTCTCCGAGCACAGCGTGATCGACACACGTGCACAATTCCTCGCAGTAGTCAAGGCACTACCGCGCGAATTCAACAGGTACGTGACACTTAGTATGTTTACTAGTGATGTTTCCGACCCTTACGAAATCTTAAAACGCTCGATTCTCAAACGAGGAGATCTAACCGATCGACAAAGGTTAGATCAACTCTTCAATAACATCGACCTGAAACACGGTTCTGCGACAGACATGTTGAAACGGATGAGAGAGGTTATGGGCCCAAGAACTTTCGACGAAGGTCTATTCAAACAACTCTTCTTGTCAAAACTTCCCCAACAGGTACAAGCAGTTCTGGTCTCGTTCCAGAACAACGGCTTAGACGAGCTAGCTGCATCTGCCGACCGCATTCTAGAAATTACGAAACCTACTACCGAGGTATTTTCAGTCAAAGAAAAGCCTCACACGACTCAGAATGATATAACCGACTTATGTCACACACTCACGCGTTATCTTAGTCTTCGTACCGACCGTAAGAGATCGCGCACACCACGTAGAAGCATATCTCGTAAGCGATCTGTCTCTAGACCACGAGAGACGGATAACCCCGACTGGTGCTGGTATCATAACCAGTATGGAAAGTTTTCCAGAAATTGCAGAAAACCCTGCAATTTTCCCAACACGAAACCGACTGATTCGAAAAACGATTCGGGAAACTTCCAAGCCGGCACGCGTTAACGGCAACCGTAGCCGGCGAACATAGCCGTCTGTTATACGTCACAGATGTGACAACGAGAGTTCGCTACCTCGTCGATACTGGCGCAGAAGTTAGCGTTCTCCCAGCGAATCCCAACGATCGGCTTCAAGAATCGGCTCTAAACTTACAGGCGGCAAACGGAAAACTGATCGCTACGTATGGCAAAAGGTACGTTTACCTTAACGTGGGTTTACGCAAACCCATCCACTGGGTCTTCGTTGTTGCAGATGTTTCTATACCAATCATTGGTATGGACCTTCTACAACACCACAATCTGATCATCGACACTCGCAAACGGAGGCTAGTAGACGGAAACACTAATTTGTCCGTTTGCGTAACTTCTTTTACTGGTTGCAGAGTATCCCCAGTCACAGTTAAGCATATGATAGACCCACTCTATCAACCACTACTAGATAAGTACCCTGGAATACAACAAACTCAACCGAAACTACCGTGTGTAACCAGTAACGTTACACATCACATCACGACTACAGGACCACCTGTATTTTCTAAAGCACGCCGACTAGCTCCTGAAAAGCTAAGGTTAGCGAAAAACGAATTCGATCACATGATGGACTTAGGAATCATACGACCGTCAAGTAGCCCATATGCATCTCCGTTGCACATGGTCCCTAAAAAGGACAGCAACGATTGGCGTCCAACTGGTGACTATCGGCGATTGAACGCGAAAACCATTCCCGATCGTTACCCGTTGCCTCACATTCACGATTTGACAGCCACCTTGAAAGGTACAACTGTCTTTTCGAAAATCGACTTGGTTAAAGCGTATAACCAAATCCCTATGGCTACTGACGACATACCGAAAACGGCTATCATAACTCCCTTCGGACTCTATGAATTTTTGCGAATGCCTTTTGGTCTAAGAAATGCTGCTCAAACATTCCAAAGATTCATAGACGACGTTTTTCGAGGTCTCAACTTCATACACGCGTATGTTGACGACTGTCTAATCGCAAGTCCGGACAGAGAAACACATCTCAAGCATCTGGATCTTGTCTTCGAACGACTACAAAAACATGGCATTACTGTAAACGTTCAGAAATGCCAATTCGGAACCGACTCGTTAGATTTCCTAGGACACACTATCGATGCTCAAGGTATCCGACCCCTTAGAACCAAAGTGGCGGCCATTCTGGATTACCCAGAACCGACCACCGTCAAGCAATTGCGCACGTTCAACGGCCTGGTAAGTTTCTATAGACGTTTCATACCCAAATGCGCATTACTTATGAAACCTCTGACCGACCAACTTCGTGGAAATGCGAAATCCATTAATTTGGACGACACCGCACGAAAAGCATTCTCCACAGTTAAGGAACTGATTGCTAAAGCAACAATGCTCGCACATCAGGACACCCGAGCACCCATTAGCATCGCAGTAGACGCATCCGACTCAGCAATCGGAGGGGTCTTACAACAATGGGTTAACAACTCCTGGCAACCCTTGCCATTTTTCTTTAGAAGGTTGCTAGACACCGAATCGAGGTACAGCACATTCGGTAGGGAACTCCTAGCTATGTATTGTGCTGTACGGCATTTCCAACACTACATCGAAGGTCGTGAATTCACTCTTTTCACGGACCATAAACCACTCACTTTCTCGTTAAGCTCTCCTTCTGACAAGTACTCCCCCCGTGAGTCTCGACAACTGGACTACATTTCGCAGTTTACTTCAGATATTCAACATATTTCTGGAGCAAACAATGTAGTTGCAGACGCTTTATCTCGTATAACTTCCTTGAACAGTTTCCGAGGAATCGACCTTCTTAGACTCGCCGAGCTTCAAAAAGAAGACACTGATCTTCAGCACGAGTTATCGTCCACAACACTTAAACTACGCATCAAACAGATGGGAACAGGTAAGGAAACCTTACTTTGTGACACATCTACAGGTAGGGATCGCCCAATCGTGCCGAAACATTATCGACGCAATGTCTTCAACACATCGCACAAACTTTCTCATCCAGGTGTTCGTGCAACCATCAAGCTTATAGCAGAAAGGTTTTGCTGGCCTGGAATGAATAAAGACGTGAGGGAGTGGGCACGCTCCTGTGTAAGCTGCCAAAAATCTAAGGTCATCAGACACAATAAATGTCCCTTAGGCTCGTTTAAAACTCCCGATGCTCGTTTCGACCATGTTCATCTGGATTTGGTAGGACCTTTACCAGATTCAAATGGATACTCTTATCTCTTAACCTGCGTAGACCGTTTCACTCGATGGCCAGAAGCAGTACCTATCAAGGACATCACTGCTGAAACAGTGGCTCGCACCTTCGTCGAACGATGGGTAGCAAACTTTGGCTGCCCTTCAACCATCACTACAGACCGCGGACGTCAGTTTGAATCCGATCTTTTCCGTCGTCTGACCACACTTTTAGGAATCACTCGCTTCCGAACGACCGCCTACCATCCACAAGCAAACGGGTTGGTAGAACGTTTTCACCGACAACTGAAAGCTTCGCTATCAGCTGCAAACGTTTCACAGTGGACCGATGCTCTTCCACTCGTCTTACTAGGTATCCGCAATGCAGTGAAAGCTGACATTGGATACACTGCGTCTCAACTCGTTTATGGAACGACACTTCGACTTCCACGAGAATTCATGGATCCTTCATCCTCTTCAATGAACATAGATCTAACCTCCTACACGAACAGGCTTACAAACGCAATGCGTTCAGTTAAACCTGCTTCCACTCGACCTCAATCAACTGATGTTTTCGTTCAACCTGACTTACGATATAGTACACACGTTTTCATTCGTCGAGACTCGCATCGACGACCATTCGAATCAGCATACGAAGGACCATTCAAAGTTCTTCAACGTGAATCTAAGTACTATATAGTCGATAAGAACGGAACCAACGATAGCATCAGCATCGATCGCTTAAAAGCAGCGTATTTAGAAGGAAATCCTATCTACGTGGATCTTTCTTCGGTACAATCGA